ACATCCACACCCGTAATGCATTCGCTAATCGGATGCTCCACTTGTAAACGAGTGTTCATCTCCAAAAAGTAGAAGTTCCGATTTGAGTCAACAAGAAATTCAACGGTACCTATAATTGAATATTTGGTTGTTAGATCATGCAGAAAAAAATGAATAGATGACTTTGCTTACCAGCAGAATCATAACCAACGGCAAGGGCCAATGCAACGGCTTGCTCGCCCATGGCTCGTCGAGTATCAGGATTCAAAAAAGTACTAGGAGCTTCTTCTATAACTTTCTGATTTCTTCGTTGTATAGAACACTCCCGTTCATTGAGATATATCGCATTTTTGTGTTTATCACATAGAAGCTAAAATAAATATTTATGAAAACCATGTCTAGCTATTTTTGTAAGAATACATCTATCATATTGTTTTGGAATTTACTAAGCTAATAATTCTAGCTAATTTGTATAAAAAATAAAGCCCGGAAGAATATACTTACAAAGTTACGAGACAGGCATAATGATTACCTGAACTTCGATGTGGCGAGGTTTGTAAATGTACTTTTCGATTAGCATACGATCGTCACCAAAGCTGGCCTTCGCCTCATTCCTTGACAATCTATAACCTTCTTTGGCCTCCTTATCATTCCATGCGATTCGCATGCCCTTACCACCTCCGCCGGCAGAAGCTTTTATCATAACAGGGTAGCCTTAAAGCAAACAAAGAAATGATGAAATAAAAATATATAATCTTGAATAAATAAATTTAGGATTGAAATTTAAGGGTCATAATCATGCGGTACCTATCTGTTTGGCAATTTCAATGGCACTCTCCTCTCCTTCAACTTCTCCGTCAAAACCAGGGATACAGCTCACTTTAGCTTTAGCGGCTATTCGTTTGCTCTCTATTTTATCGCCCATAGCACGAATAGCTTTAGAGTTAGGGCCAATGAAAACCACCCCAATATCTTCAAGTTCCTTGGCAAAACGAGTATTCTCTGAAAGAAAGCCGTAACCAGGATGAACAGCTTCTGCTCCTGTTTTCCTAACTGCATCAAGTATAACGGGCATATTAAGGTAAGACTGGCTGGTCGCTGGAGGGCCAACACACACAGACTCATCTGCCATTTTGACAAAACGAGACACCGCATCGGCCTCGCTGTAAACAGCGACGGTCTTGATGCCATACCGTCGGCAAGATTCAATTATTCTGCATGAAATTTCTCCTCTATTCGCAATAAGAATTTTTTTAAATTTCTAAAGTAGGGTGAGAACGGTATGAATTACAGATTCGCTTGGGTCATGTCTATCATTCCAATAAATTTTGTCTGCATAACCAGAAGAGCTTAGGCGTCGGATACCAAAGCGTGTGAGCAGCGATGTTCTACTCTACTCATTTCAGTAATGTTAAGAGACAAATACCTTAGAAAACCTAAAGAGTGTGTGCATATCGAGAGAAGCAACAGCAGTGAGGTAGAGCGAGATACAAAATGGTGTTTGTTTGGGTAAGCAAGGTAAGCATAAACAGTAAAAGAGATTTTTTACACTTTTATATAATT